GGGGGGGGGGGGGGGGGGGGGGGGGGTTTGGGAACCTGAATCAGCAGCAGCAGCATTAAAAAATGACGGCAGTTCTGCTCACAACCATATTACTAAGCTAACTTCATCTTCAACAGTAGTTCTGCTCACAACCATATTACTAAGCTAACTTCATCTTCAACAGTCTCAAACAATCAATGCAAAAGAAGCATAAGGACTGGACAAACTGGCACTTGAATTTCTCATTTGCTTATTAACTAATAATCTTCAATTACAAAAGCTCTTCCTAATGTCTAGCATCTCCTATATCCCCTGAATTTCGTCACTAAATGGGCGTATTGCCCCTTCTCCACCATGCGCGTTATAACTTTATGAGCCTCAGAAAGCTTTCCAGCATTTCGCAAATAGCTTACAAGGGTACTATATACAACAAAATTTGGTCTGCAACCACGGGTTTCCATTTCAGCCAGCATCGAGTAAGCCTCATCGAACTTACCCGCCATACAAAAACTGCGAATCATGGAGTTGTACGTCAATACATTAGGGAGCTGACCCTTCATGACCATCTCATCAAAAAGCTCCCTAGCTTTCTCATGCTCCCCAGCCACTGTGTAGGTTGTGATCATCACAGTGTAGCAAGCAACATCAGGAATGCACCCCTTGTTTCCCAGTTCATCAAAGAAATATTTGCAAGCATCCAAATTTCCAGCCCGACTAAGTCCATCGATAAGCGTCGTGAAGTGAAGAATGCTGGGATCAAAACCCACTTCCCTCATGTGGTTCAAAAGATTTAGAGCTGCAAGAGGTTTGTCTCCTTTGCCAAGAACAAAAAGAAGAATGTTATAAGTATGATAATCAGGAGAAAACCCATTTCTAGCCATTTCATCAAGCAATCTGTGAAACTGATCCAATTTCCCCAATTTGCACCTTGCATACAACACCACATTATATGTAAGAATGTCTGAGCTGTGACCATCAAGCAGCATTTGCTGATACACCCACTCAATCAACTTGTACTGTTTTATCACAAGTAGTCCATGAAGAATCGCATTATAAGAGTGTTTAAACGGCCTAAAATTGAATGTTTTTGATTTGATAAACCTCTCGACAACTTTCCTAGCCAAGCCTGCATCACCACAAGTACATATCAATATCATAAAAGTCCTTGCAGTCACAGGGTACCCTTTCTCGGTCATCTCATCAAGTAACCTCCACATAGCCTTGAACTCCTCACATTCAGCAAATATTTTCATGACCATATGATACGAGCTCGCAGTGTGTCGATAATTCTCGACCTTACTGGACCACACGAAGAACTTGTACCCCAATTTTGCACATTGAGTTTTGTTGAGAACATTTACGCTTCTCAAAATCCCCTTCAGAACTTCCCTAACAAGAACCCCTGAGACCTGTAGTTGCAGTTCATCCAAAGCCAGTAATGTGTCAAATCCAGGACCGTCCTGTTTGAGAATCTCAATAACTTTTTCAGCATCAGTTTTCGCATTCTCTAGAAAAACCTTTCTCATTGACAGATCATCCTCTCTACGACTCCCAATCTCACAGGAATCCAAATTTTCATCAGTAAAATAACCAAACTCCGATCCCTCCAACCTCTTCTTATTGGGTTCCACAACAAACTCAAATCGATCATCACCACTAAAGCTCCGATTACAGATTGCTCGACGCACAATAAAAGAAGTTGAAAGCAATCTGCAGACTATCCGCGAACTCACAAGCGATAAAGAGTTCATGGTCGATACCCATTATCGCTAAAGACTCACAATACTTGAGAAAAACAAGTAATCGAATAACAGAGCAAAAACGACCAAGTGGAAAAGCGCCGAAGCATTTGTTTTCCACAGTTGGGAGGCATCCATTAACATGAACACCCCCAATCTTCCAATAGGTTACGAATCCAACAGAAAAGTCTCATTTGAAAGATAATCTAATCAGCCTCTTGAATGTCAGTGTAACATTAAAAAAAAATTGAAGTTCGATCAAAGACTTATCTGAGATTTCGCGACTTTGTAGAGATCTTCGAAGTTGAGGCTTCAAAACAAGATCGAATTTCTTTCTTCAGATAGAGTGAAACAGGAGAGGAGTTGCTAGGGCAACATGACCTGAAACACAAAGCAACTCTCGAGAGCCGTCGATTGTCGTTTCTCCACCCAGATCGCCTCACTTCCCACCGTTCGACATGTCGGACATAAATTTATTTATAAAAAAATATTTGAATAAATGTAAAACAAAGTGGAAGGTTATCTTTATGTTACTAACATAATATATATACTAAAAAAGTTAAATATTCGAATTAAACTAAAAAGAAAGATTATTATTAGCGTCTTATATATAAATGTAAATATAGAAAGGAAAAAACCCTCAGCATATTAAAACAATTTCATATTGGCATGGATTAATGTTAAATAATGATGCTAAATATATAAATGCAGAATAATATTATAAAATAATTTTAATTGAGCTCCTAATTATTTTAATAATTTCCTTACAAATAGATAGCAAATTCGTAATTTCTTTATTAGAACGAGCATTCTAATCGGGCAACTTTCCTGGGTACTTCTGTAACAACTGTACAATTCCCCACAGCGTAACATTGTCTCCACGCAGGCCTTTCCCCCCACGACCACAAGCCTAAAATGGGCCTTCTTTTGGGCCTCATCCAACATGGACTTTGCTATTCCCGTTCCACCCCAGGGAGTACTCTGGACACGTGGCATGCAGCCAACGATTCGGACATTATAGTTGTTGAAAAACATCGGATTTGAATCTCTATATTGTACCATTTCCAACATTTTAATGATTTAATTTTCAATTTAGTGGTTAAATGGTTACTATCTAATAATGCTATTACATCATATTAATATAAAATAATTTTGATGAAATGTCCTATAAATCTTAAGTAATTACTTTAAACTTTAGTATAAATTTGTAACTTAATTTGTTGGAAATGTATTTTTATTTTAGGTAATTACTTAAAATCTTGTTACGGTCCAGGAACATCCAGCCTCCGATTCTAATACAGTAGGTTATTGAATTGTGAGGATATTTCTAAATAGCGACCGCCCCATTCGTGTATAAATTTCAAAAACATTATGCACATAACAACAATAAAAAATTTGGTTAAAATTCTTTGATTCATTATTTAATTTAATGTGTGGCACCGTTAGAAAGCCTGCAGCCCAACTCCGTTTCGTCATTTTTTCCGTTTCCGTTTCGCTCTCTATCGCTGCTTTTCTCATAATCTCTTCACGTCTTCTTCGTCATGTCGTAAGTTTTTCTTAGTAATATCATTATTTATTATTAAAATACCATGATTTTTATACGATGTGTCGGTTGATTTTATTAGCCGACGCCCAATGGGAGGGACGCGGAATTACATATTTACCCTCACCGGAGTGAAGTTCAATTGCCATCTGTAAATTGTACGGCATTTTCATGGAGCGAGAAGTGCCGTACGAGGAGTTCTGTAATTGTGAATGAAGAAGGAGATCGAGACCGTCAAAACTTCGACACGTGTCCGGAGTACTTCCGTTGGATTCACGAGGATCTAAGGCCGTGGACGCGAACGGGGATCACGAGGGAGATGTTGGAGAGCGGGCGGCCAAAGGCGGGTTTCCGGCTGGTGATAATCGACGGTAGGGCTTACGTGGAGAAATTTATGGATGCGTATCAAAGTAGGGATAAGTTTACGCTGTGGGGGATCCTACAGTTGTTACGGTTGTACCCTGGTAAAATTCCCGATTTAGACCTCATGTTCAATTGCGAGGACCGGCCCAACATTTTCATTGGTGACTATAGTGGGCCCGGGCCCAATTCGACGGCCCCACCTCCTGTGTTCCGATACTGTGGAGATGATGACACGTTGGACATTGTCTTTCCTGATTGGTCCTTCTGGGGATGGTAAATATCAATAAATAAATATTTAAATTTTATAGCTGATGTG